ATCGTGCATGCAACACGAACGTCGTTGACACGGAAACATGATGGATGTTTCGGGCGTGCGCCATTTCAACAATGCATCAATTCGCCATGGATATCGAGCAGTTGCGAGGTGATTTTTTTTTTCTTCTTTCTTTTTCACTTGCAAACTACTTTCTCGTGTCTTCAAACGTTTCATATATTAAATTTCACGTAAATTCGTAAAAACAGTTACAGAACTGGACCTTCTACTTTATTTTTAACATTTCAATTTTTAATCTACCTTAAATATTTCTTATTAAGAGAATTGGTTATTTTTGACCATTTACATACAGTCGTGAAAAACTCAAGCACAGAATGATGGACATGTTAATTAATTAGAGGGTTCTCTTTATTTTTATCTTTTCATTTTTTCAAAAATTCCTCCATAGATGAATCCTTTATTCTCTTTATATAATGAGAAATTCTCTCCTTACTTCTGGTTTGTCATTTTTTCAAAAATTCTCCTGCATTCCTCTTTGTTCTTGTTGTATAATTGTATTACAATAATAAGCATTATTATTATTATTATTATTATTATTATATTATTATATATACAGTAGTGAAAAATTCAAATACGGATTTGAATAGATGGTGACGTGCTAATTAATTATAAAATTCTGTTTGCCTCTGCTCTTCCATTTTTTCAGAAATTTCTCTCTGTTCCTTTTGTATAATATACGATTATATTATTGTATGACAGTAAATATTTATAAATATAAATATTATTGTATGACAATAAATATTACATACAGTCGTGAAAGATTCAAATACGGATTTGAATGGACGGTGACGTGTTAATTAATTCTAACATTCTCACCTCACTTCTTTCTCACGTTTTTTTCGAAAATTCCTCTATAAAGGCGAATGCTTTGTCTTTCCTGCAAGATGAATGGTTCGATTCAATCTTCGTACGCTCCATCGTTCATTGTGACGGCAGTGGGACGAATTAAAATCGAAAGGAAAGATGAAAAGGAAGTGTGCGGGAGCGTGTCTGCAATTTCGTGAAAGGGAACGCGCGCGTGTTATAATTTCGCGGATTCATTGTTCAGGAATTAATTTCTCATTTCGCTTTTCAACGTTTTTAGGCGCGGCCTTTTATCATATATATATATGAACGAGGAGAATGAAATTTTGCGGACCTCGTGATAATGAAACTGCTTGGAAATACGTAATAAGTTTATTCGCCATGCTCAACGTAAATTCATGCGTTTTCTTTAATACTTCGCGGATTATTATTGCATTATTATTGCAGTTACGAATCACGCCGTGATTGTTTCAGTGTCTTTTAGAAAAATTGATGTTGCAAATAATATAATTTGGCGTTAAGCAGTGTCTAGTGATACAATGTATCATTAGTCAGACGTTTCTATTCTCAGAGGTTATAGATTGAATATTATTATATTGAAGATAAACATCGTGTTAATTTATAGTTTCGATATTGTTGGAAAAAATATTTCTGAAAATTTCATTCTATTACTAGTTCTTCATAGTGACGTAATGTATCATTAGTCAGACGTTTATATTTACCAGATATTTATGCTTATAAATTATAAATTGAACGTTATTGTATCGTAGGTACACATATTAATTTGTAAACTTGCTATTATTTGGAAGAATATCTTGAGAACGAATTGTCAGTGATATAACATATTATTAGTCAGGCATCCATTCCAGTCTATGTCCACGTCAATGTTATCACATCGAAGATATACGTCGCGTTAATTATTTCCGTGATCGCCAGTGATGTAACATGCCGTTGATCAAACATTTTCTCATTCTTTCTGCATCAAAAGTGAAGTTACTCTCGTGTCAAGAAGATACAGTTAATCGAATTCTCTTGACCCTCTAATCATCCTGCGAATTTTTTTCGCGACAGATAACTTGGATAAGCATTTACTCCTTTACATTTTTGGTACAAAAGCACAGATGTACACTCTGTGGCAAAAGAAAAAAATTGAACAAATCAATAAGATGTCGATATACTAGTGTGTGACCTCAGTCGCACCAGAGAGTTAATTTAAATCGACGAAGGATCCTATTAAATATCTCGTACGATTCAACGAGACAGTGTCGCCCAAGAGATCAGACAGGGATCCCGATAATAATTTTTTGCTTCCATTCGGTAAAGTTTCTCGCGAGATCCAGGAAGGTGGTTCCTGTCAGAAACAGCTTCTGGCGTGGTTTATGGTGTGCCTCTTGTACTTACCACCCCAGCCAAGGAGAAGCGGGGAAGGATTTCGGCGGAGCCCTCCGGCCGAGCATAATGCTCCCATTATCTCCAGTCCTTTCGTCTATACCGCGTGTGCACGTTGCTTCGCTAATGTACCGGGTGTCCACGTAATTTCCTCCG